CCTTTAAGATTGCTTTTTCTGATTTTGAGAATTTTAAGGGTGTGTAACCTTCAACCCCCAGAATCCCCCGGCCACCTTCCGGGCTGGGGAATTCTGGGAGTTGAAGTCCACACATCTTAAAGTGGCCAAGGTTGAGAAACCCTAGTGTAGATGGGTCGTGCTGATGCAGCTCAGTTTTATCTTTGAACACCAGGAGCAGCACCAAATCCTCTCTTGTTAGATGTTTACAGAGAAGCAGCATCTACGCTGATGAACAGACTCCATTATTTGCAATTATAGATGCATAAAATCAATCATTATGGAAGCTTTTCTATTCCCATGGTATTCATTTTAATGAAAATGACCTTTCCTTATGCTAATTCTGTAGTTTTAAAATGTGATAATGCTTGAAATGTAGGTAGAGGTAGAGGCAAAGTAGTAGTAGTAGTAGTAGTAGTAGTACTATTGGCATGCATGTGGTTGATTAATTTTTATCTTTATCAAAAAAAGCAAAGTTAATTGATTGCATTTCTAACCTTGTTTTTTTCTCCAGTGTCTCAAGGTGACTTATATGGAGGTCTCCCTTCTATTTAGTTACTTATTTATGCTGCTACTCCATCCATTTATACTCTTGGCAGCTTACAACAAACCTACCAGATAAACAATTAACACCACCCCAACAACTCCAGAAGTATCAGCTCTTCCAAGTAGGCCAGGTGAACGAACATGCTCTTTATTGGAGTAAGGCAGAAGAACAGAACTTTGAAACCTATCCAAGTTTCTCTCTGTTCCATCTTATACTAAACAAAATCAAGGCAGGGTTATCCTGAGTTTCTTTCTCATGCTTTCTCATTCTCGGGACTCAATAATCTTTTCTCCAAGTCTCCCCTGAGTGGCTTCCCAATCCCCAAGGTCTGCTCCACATTCTTTTACAGGGAGATAAGTTGGGCTGAGAAAAAGTGTAATGGTCTGTGGGAATGGCCTTGGGAGACTGGAGGACGAGCCACAGACTGGACAGCCAGCATGTAAAAGGTATCTCAGCCCACAGAAGGAGGGAGGGCGTGGGAAGCATCTCAGAAGCCCCCCCTAGTTTTCCAGAGAGTAAAAGTAAGGGATGGGAAGGGTATTTTCAGACTTGCAAGCTTCTGTTAATGTAACCTTGCAGTAAAGATACAACTAGCATTCACTGTCATGCTTCTTGTCTGGACTACCTCAAAGGACTAACATCAATCTTGCCATCTTTTCAAAAAAGGTTCATGTTGTAACTGGGATTAGTAACATGTGGTGCCATTGGGGGGGGGGGTGGAAAGTTTCTCCAGCTATTAGACCCCACAAAAATATACAAACATATAGCTCAGCCTTAAATGTTAGTATTTCAGATGGCTTATTTGGGTCCAGATGATGATGGTGGCAGGCCAGGTCATGTCTTCAGTGCTACTGCAATCATCGTATTATCTTGATTATAAGTTGCTGTTTATACATGTTGATGCTATCATTCCTGGAAGCATCTGGGATCCAACGGTTTAAGAGCATCATGGTTAGTGTTTCATCCCCAAACGATGCTGTCTCTATTTTCGATTTCTTTGAAAAGAGCCTGTCTGCCCAGTGCTACAAAGATCCTTTCTTACGGAAATGCAACATGCAAAGCAGCCTATTTCTGGTGAACTTTTGCTCTCCTGGGTTCAGATGCACTCTCACTGCTGGAAGGCCTTCAACAGGCGCGGCCTTGATTGCCATTAATAAAAGCACCCAAGTGGGCTGCAGGAACTTGGTTTGCAAGATTAAGGAGAACAAGCAAACGAGGGACCATGACAAGAACGGAGACAAATAGGAAAGCAGAAATGCTGAAAGGGAGTTGACCTGTAATTAAGATTAAACGAGGAAAATGGAAGACGTATAACTAATTCCATAGCACAAAAGGAACTAGCATCTCCTTTCTTGTGACAATAAGAAGGCATTAATTATGTTTAGCATTGCTGCTGTTATGCCTGAATCAATAAAAGCATGTCCAAATCTCATTTTTGCCACTTTGGATCCAGAAAGAAAGCCCTTAGTGCAATCAGTTTGATTTATTTTGTGATTTCCTTGGTGTCCCCCCACCCACCCCCAAAGTTTCTCAGCTGGTTTGCACTTCCGATGCCTTCATCTCACCAACTTATTCATCTCATTAAATCTAAAGACCAAGCAGGCCCCCCGATTAAAGTGTAATCATGTTTGTTACATCTCTTTAAGCTTCAGCATATTTTCACCCATGACCGAGGGTTTCATATGGCACTGAACGAAGCCTTCAGCTTCTGATTTTAAAAAAAATACTTTTGAAAGTTGGACAATAAAGAAAGTGGAACAGCTATAAAAGTAGGAATTAGGTAGCTGCTGGAATTCTGATCCCCACCCTGTTTTTTGACCCTACAGGCCCAACTGAGATGGTGTCTCACCAAAGATGGTGCTTTCTCTAAAAAGGAACCCACAAGAACCAGCAGGTGGTTTGAACACTGGGAAAATGCATTTACATGGTTTCTTTTAAACCCAGAAAACCATTTCTGCTATTTCTTCTGAGGTCCCCAAAGCACTTACATCATCAATTAATAACCAAACGTGATCAAAACAGCAAACAGAACAAAAAGCTTAAAAAATACATGCTTCTATAATGGGGCAAACTCAAGCACACACATACATATACACACACACACTCTTTAGAGGAAATCAATTAGTCCTTATTTAAGCAAGCATCTGACAAGTATTTAACAACCCAGGTGCCATAAGTAGAAATGTTTTGGACAATCTGGCACATCCAATCATAGCAGAAGATGAAAGCCAGCGGTAAGCCTGCAGGTTGGTTACATTGCTAGTAATTTATTGCATTTTCTTGCAAATTAGTTTTATTGTTTTAATTAACTGTTTTAAGTGGTTTTAATGGCTTTTATTTTATTTCTGTTGCTGTTTTTAATTATGTAAGCCACCCTGAGTCACTTAGATGGGATGGGTGGCGATATAAATTGAATGAATGAATAAATAAATGAATGAATTGAATTGAATTTTCCTTCAGTTAGTCTGATCCCAACCCATTTAGGATATCAGTGCTCCTGACAAATGTTGGAGACTGATAGATGGTGGTTGAAGAGTGGGAGAGGAGAAGACCTCTAAATTGTGAAAGTGAGCAAGCGAAGAGGAACTTGGGGACCTGCATTTTGACCATTGAAATACAAACCAGTTGAATTCCCACTGAAAAACTGGCATGTATTTTTGCATTTTCTATTTCAAAGCAAATCAGCATATATACAGAAAAAGAAAAAGGAAATAGGTAGTTTCAATTACTCACCAACTGACATCCTTCTAGGGAGTTCACTAGCTGAGCATTTTGACAGGAGAGAATGGAGCCAGCTAAATTCAGCATCACGCAGACTGCTGACAGCAACATGAAAAAGGTTATCTGAGGAAGAAGAAGAAGAAGAAGCTTGGTCATCTTATACTGCAATGATCAGCAAGGGCTAAAAGACAAGATTTGGTTTCTACTCTGCTTCTGTATTCATTGAGTTTTGGATACTGTAGAGGATCTTGAAAACAATGTCAGTGTTCAGCTGGGTTCTATCTGCCACCATTACCAAGAGTAACCTGCCTCAACTCATGGCCTCCAGATGTGTTGGACATCAACAGCCATCATTTCCAACAAACACATTAAACACCATGGTGGTAGGGAAACATAGAACTGTAGATCTGGGAGGGACCACAAGGATCATCTGGTCCAACCCTCTTCAGGGCAGCTGAAGTCCAACTGGGTATCTGCCAAAAGGTGTTCTAGTGATTTGTAAACCCAACACCATCCATTTCTCAACAACCGATAAGATTGAACAGATTATTCTAGATAATGTATATACAGAGCAGCATTTAAACAGTGTTCAAAACCCTGCAAGCTGAGAGGTTCACAGCCTGGAGAAACAGCAGCTTGCTGCATCTACAGCAGAGGTAAAATTTGGCTCTCAGTGTCCTTGGGAAGTACTTGCCTCCTCCAGTAACCACTTTCCAAGAACCAAAGAAGGCAGCCATGCCTTCATCCTGCTTTACCTGTTGTGACTCCTCAGGCAATCCATCTGAGCAGAAAAGATTGCACCCTATCTCTGTCACCTTCTGCCTCCTCTCTGGACCTGGAGACATTGAGGACCAGTGGTTGTCTTGTTAAAAAGCAAGAAAACAAATTCACATCATGCAAGAAATACTTGCACGCAATTAAAGAGCTGGAATGGTGTTCTTTTCTTCACCCTCCAGCATTTTTGCTCATCTGAATGAGGCACACCCCACAGGAGCAAAGCAAGTGTGATCCATTCCTGGTGTTGCTTCTGTCAACATGAAAAAACACTCCCAGGGCACTGTGCTATCTGAGACAGGAAGGGTCTCAGCTTGTTGAGAATATGAGCAGATAGGCTGCTGTTTGGGGATGACAACCAAGGATTCACTGGTGACCGTGATCACTGCAGATAACAATTGACAGATCCTTGCTTACCTGTGGGAGGCAAGCAAGCAAGCGTGTCTCCGATGTAGCGAAAACCCTCGAGCTCCTATAGAAGCACCTGCTTAGTTTCATTACTTATTTCCTGTACATCAGCGGCTTCCTGTGTGCCACTCACACACTTTCACAAATGAGAGACACATCTGTTTGGAGAATCATGGTTACTTCCAGCACTGGAATCTCCCGTTCAAGCTGTCAAGGGTAGAGATATAAGATCCAACCCTTTGTGCAAAGCCCACTGAAAACCAGGAGCACAGCAGCCATCTGGGCAAGGGTTTTGCTAACAGAGAAAGAAAAGGGTATCTCAAAAAAACTGGCTGCGTCATCGGACTAACTCTCCAATTTATCTTCTGCTGACCTGCGGACAATTGTTTCCATATGAGCATCAAATTTTACAAAGACCAGCTTTGCTTTGGGAATCATCTGGCTGTGTGCAGATCACAGCTCTCTTTGGAAATCCTCCCTGGGTCATCAGGTCTTCAAGCTTTTCCCTCAAACACAACTAGAAAGTTGTTAAGCTGTTAGGAAATACCCCAGGGGCTTCTTATACCAGATATCCCAGTTAAAATCAAAAGCTAGAACTCAGCATTCTTGGTTTCAGCATGAAATCCTCCAGGCAGGAAGGCAGTAGATGGTACTGCAGAAAAAAATAACTAGCAACCCCGTCATCGAGTAAGAACAGCACCAAGGATTAGTGAGGCAAACATTGTGATTTACTTTAAGCAGCACGCAACTGACAATGTGCAACTTACAGGTAATTGAAATGGGCATGGAGCTAATGATGTCTTCCCTGAATATGTACTGCAACAAATCCATCTGCCCAGCTGTTCTAGCCAGCTGAAAATCTGGGAATTTGCTCTGAACAATATTTCCCCACCAAGAATTGTCTACCTTGGCATCCTTAAGGTGTGTAGACTTCAACTCAATAGCAGGTTGGCTGAGGGATTCTGGGAGTTGAAGTCCACAGAGTTGAAGTTTGGCCAGAATTCTAGGGGGAAAAGGTCCAAAAGTAGTTTGAAGGGGATGGAAAATGCCTCTGATAAAAGACTTCTGTACAATGTAAGGATGTCCTCCATCTACACCAAACAGGAAACAGGTAGGCCAATTGCCAATGGAGACCTTCCCTACTTCTGAGCTCCCTTTTCCACACAGGAGGAGGAATTCACTTGCAGGTCTCATGAACACACCATTTTTTTTCCCTTGCACTGGAAATAAAGAATTGTGACTTGGTGTCCAGGAATGGTAGGCAATATTTGCATGGGCACCCATCTCTTCCAGTTAGCTCTACTCCCTTAGTAAGTTATCAAAGGCTGACTGAGATCCCCCTTCAAGTACTTAAAGTGGATGTGAGGCATGGTGTGGCACAAGCATTCCTCTCCTTTCCCCAAGAGAACCTAGCTTAATTTAGAACATTGCTTCTAATCAGAGAAATGCAATAACAACATTTGCTTAAGTTTCTGGATTGCTAATATAGCAGCCTCGGGAATAGCTGAAAATGCAAAGAGAATCCTTTCACAGTTCTATCCCTAGGATTCCAGCTGTTATATCTTTATGTAGGAAAGAATCACATTACTTGGCCAAACTTGCTCTATCAGTGGTGCTTTGGGGGCAGTTGCCCCACATCACTCCTGGCTCCACTGTTCCTTGCCGGAACTTCAAGAGTTCATGAAGGAAGCTTCAACCTGTCAGATAACCATTCTAAGGGTGGCTCTGGCTTCCCCACCATGGTTGCTGTCACACATCACACTTAACCTGGTTATTGAGCTAACCCATATTCTCACTTTGCACAACACACTGACTCATAAAACTAGCCAAAGGATGGTGTTCACACAACCTAAACCACCCCCCCCCAAAAATTAAGGTTACCGCTAACCAAACTTAGCGTGTTATGGAAATGCAGCTACTAGGTCTTTCACTGCCCTGGTTAAGTGTGCTATGCAAACTTGTCTCATGGATGTTACTGAGGTTGAAAAATGTGCTTCTATGTATTTTTCTTAGCCAAAAGGCCAAGAATTGAAAGTGCAATCATGGGAGGTTTGAGCGCAAAGGCAGGGCCTGGAGGAGGTCAATATTCTTATCCTAATTGCTAACCCGAACCCTGGCCAATCTACAGATGGAAGAACACGCCTCTTTTGCTTTTGGTAAGGTCTACCTTTTTTCAGGCACACATCCTCTCTTCTCCATCAGTTTGCAAAACATTTTTGTTCAGGATTACAAAAAATCCATACAAGCATGCACAAAATCTCTAACAACGCTACAAAATATTCAGCATAAATCGGCTGTTTTCCTTACGCACTTGTGTAAGCAGTATGTTCTCCAGCATATGCCTTCCCTCTTCATTTTTCCACTGCAAAACTGCACCATAAAATTCAGAGGCGTGAAAGCTAAAATAATAATCCAGCCATTTCATTTGCTCCCTGCCTTTATTGGATATGGCAGTGAGGAAACCATCCCCGCTTCTCCCCCCACCTTTCGAGAGGCTCTGGAACCTGTCAGATCCTCCCCCAAATCGATTCCAAAATCAGAAGAAAGCTTCATTTTCAATTATCTCCATAATGAAAGAAAACAAGTTGAAAGCAGATGAGTGCAAAGAGAGCATCAGATGGCTCTGGAAAGGAGAAGTAAAGCTTTTATCTGCACATCAGTGGTTTGAAGCCCAGATTCCACAGCCAAGACCGATATGGAAGATGGATCCTTATCAAACGGCCCACCCAGGAACAGAGCAGACATCTCACAATTAGTGCTTGGGGCTGCCTGGAACTTTGGTCTAGCAGAGCTGCAGAAAGAAGGAAGACGACTGGTCAGGAACTGAACGCAGCGTGGCCAGCAGGATCGATTCTTTAGGCTCCAATCTATTTCCAAAAACGTAGAATTTCACCAAGGTGTGAAGTTCTAACAAACCCTTTGATGCTTGCCCAAGCTTTTAAATACTTTGTACTGCCTGGGAATTCCCAGGAGTTTTATCTCCATCATATCTGGAAGGCATCAGAATCAGACTGGTATACTTTCTACAAAACCCCAGTAATGGGAATTTCATAGCCCTGCTACCCAAAACCCTTAGAACTTTAGTTGCATGAAGTGGTGCAACAGAGACGACGTTTGAATCTATTGTGCAAAACTTTAGAGCAGGGTTCCTCAACCTTGGCAACTTTAAGACGGGGTGGGCTTCAACCCCCCCCACACCCTCCCCCCCCCGGGGAATTTTTGGAGTTGAATGCCACCCCCCCTTAAAAGTCGCAGAGGGGGGGGCCCACGCTCTG